ACCACAAAAGAATAAATTATATAGAAAATCAATGAGTGACAATAAAGATTTATCAATTATTAAATATCCTCATCTGACTGATCTCAATCTTATTCAAGCTCATGATGATTATGTCGAACAATTTCTAGTTGATACGGAAATGTCTTTGCCAAATCATCTTCATCTTACTGTCAATTATCAAGCAATGAAAATGGTTACTGAAAATTTCACAAGAAATACAACACGAATTAATTGTACAAAACTGCGTTCTTTACATCTATGGATGGCATGTGGAGATACTAAACATGTTAAAGACTATTTTCCTCATACACACATATTTGGATTTGTAAATGATTGATAAAATAAAACATTGAAAGAAAACGAATTAATTTATATAGAAAGAAGCTATTACAATGGAGAGAAATGAATCAAAGAAAATTCTAGTTCGAAATAAGTATTTATGAACACATTATTACAAATAAAAGCATGCTCACCAACTTATGCATATCTTTTCGTAAAAAATCGGAAATCAAATCATAAATGAGAAATATTGATTTGTATTGAATGAGAAGTATGTTAATGAATGTCACTAGAAATTTGTTTGTTTTCCAAATTCACGTTCTTTTTTTTTGAGTTAATTGTGACAACTGAACGTTTTAAAGCTAAATTGAAATACGGTCGAAGTGTTGAATGTAAATCAATAAGAAAAAAATTGATCCAATAATTTAAACAAGTATAACTTTGTCAAAAATAAAACAGTGTCAAGATATTATTTGTATACATATCTATTGAAAATAGAGTAAGTCCGATAGTTATTATCGATAGAAAAGCATAAGATTGACATGTTCAACTCTTCCATTTATGAATGTTAAATCAGTTCGAAAGATTTTATTTGTTGTTGTTAATTATGGATATCTTTTTTTCGAATATTTTCGATAGTGTAATTCAATTGCTTTCCAAACAATTAAAATTATTACTACAATTAATTATGATTCCTGTTGAAAACACTCAAAAATCTAAACTTATTTTCATATATTCGAACTCAAAACGAAATATTTAAATCTTAATTCACCGTTAAATTTGAATACTTATCTCTAATGAATGTACTGAGTTAAAGGTACTCAAAAAAGTACACTGCTACTATTATGTCATAAGAACTTTTGAGTACTTGAGTATCTTAAAGTCAAGGGGGAAAAAGCGAAACTCTCTACTTTAGCATACTTCACTGTACTCCAAGGCAATGTCAAACCTGTTCTCGAGACCTTTTTAGCTATTTAAAGTCTACTCTTGACATGTGTCACGATATATTAGGTGGAGTCTAGTCTATGTAAGTCTATGCGACAATAAATCTCAAATACTTCATTGTACTTCATTGATACCCAAATTTTGAAGTACAATGAGATATTTGAGCTTTACTACCAAATATACTTGCATGTACTGGACTTCGTCTAATATACTGTGACACAGATGAATACTAGATTCGAAATAGCTAAAAAGTTCTTAAGGATAGTTTTGACATAGTCTTGAACTACGCTGAAGTGTTGAATTATTTCTTTTTTCTCCTTGCTTAAATAGTTAAAGTACTTTTAGGTACCTATTGGACACTTTACTTGCCACCCTGCTGAAGTGTTCAGTAAGTGGGTATCTGAAGGTACTGCTTAGATACTCACTCAGGAATTAGTGTATAAAAATTCTATAGGTATCCTGTTGAAAAGTTCCAGAATATTCGCGATGGAACCTCTCCCTTGTCTTTCTTTCATACTGCGTTCCTCTACTATAATATTTTTTCGAAAATATAAATGTGATAACAATTGTCGGATTTTTTAAAAAATAGTCTCCACCATTTTTTGAATAACTCTCGATCGCTTATAGCTATCGAGATCAAGTTTTCGTCATTAGAAAGAGCAAGTGAGAGGACATCTATCTATATAGAATTCATAAGGTTCGAATAAGTTTTTCATGAATGTTTTTGAGCAAACATCTTTTACTTTGTCCATTTTCATGAGTTTTCACAACAATCTACGCTTAAATTATTATCAAATTCTAGCCCAAAATGACTTTTTTTCCTGATAAAATTTTTAAATCTCTCTATAGTTTATTTGAATTAATACTTCAAAGGTATGGTTTTAAAATACGAAAATTTTACCAGGAATAAAGGTCATTTTGGACTATAATTTAGTATAATTTAAGCGTAGATTGCTGGAAAACTCATGAAAATGAACAACGAAAAAGATGTTCGTTCAAAAACATTCAGGAAAAAATTATTCGAACCTTATGAATTCTATATAGGTAGATATCCCCTTACTTGTTCTTTCTAATGGCGAAAATCCAAGCTCGATAGCTATAAGCGATCGAGAGTTATTCAAAAAAATGGTGAAGGCTATCTAAAAAAAATCCGCCATTAGTTATTATATTTTTCTTTATGTAAAGAAAATCATTACTTTTACCTTGTCTTCGATTAATATAAAAAGAATTAATGAAGCGCTAGAAATACGGACGTTAGAATTTCTAGGTATTAGATTATATAGAATGAAAAAGATTTAATATATTTTCGAAAATAAAAGAAGACTTGTTAAACAGAAAAAAAATGACACCCTCACATTACTGATTTGAATAAATCTAACAATAAATAAGAAATCACACATATACAATAGATACTTAACAAAAAGAAAAATGAAAATTATTTATTTAGATTGATGACTCAAAGGAGATACAAATATTTATATCAATGGAAGAAAATTAATACAAACTCATTGAATAATAAATTATAATCATCGTATTTACATTATGATAACAGATACTTCGAAGATTTTTTACAGGAAACACTTCAAATATACTGACTCCATCCAGAATCAGTTTTTTCCCACCAATTTACAAGTAGAATCACGAGCTCAATGAAGCTTTCTGAGTTTTAACTAAAAAATGATAGTAAAAGAAATATTTCGACCTAAGTATCTTTTCATTTTTTGATGTACATCAGAGTTGTGTGCGACAAGGATTTTTCATACTCCGCGGGCTCCATCCCGCGATTTTCGCTTCCCTCGCCTCGCCTACCCCGTGAACTAGTTTTTTAAACAGCCTTGTCACATGAGTGATTTTTTTGCTACATCATCCTGCCTGGCTGCCTCGTCCCCGTGCAACTTATGTAACGTTTATCAATCACAAAATTTGGTTTTATTCGTCTACTCTGCATTGCACATCAAGTCTTTTAAATGAAAAATCGTTTTACTTTCGGATCCAGAAAAAGGATTTAAATGTAGAAAAATTGTTTAGGATAAATGTTTAAAAAGATATTAATAAACTGAGTTAGCTGGAAAGAAATATGATGATCATGATTGGTCTTCCTGACATTTGTATGACTTAAATAGTCTACTTGACTGTTTGTTTATGCACCAGTCGAGTTACAAGAAATATATGATGCAAATTTTCCAGTAACGTAGTGGCAATGACTTTCATCTTTTACTACAGTAGTGACACATAGAGTTTACCGCGGAGATAGCTTTGCAATATTTGTTCTGTAATTTTACACAATTGTATTCTCTCCGGTTTCTTTTTTGCGAGGACTAGGTAGCCTATTTATTCTACATAGTTCACACTGTCAATTGAGCCTTAAAGAAGTAATTGCAAGCAATTGAATACCAATGAACAATTTTTAATGAGATCGTTACATTGGAGGGTTTATCTGGTAAAAATTCATAACTTTGGATTTTGAACATTGATAAAGATAAGGACTATGTTAAATATCGATTCTAAGAATCAAATGATTTGTAATAACTTTTTCACGAATTGACCAGCGTTCAATATGAAAGACGATATGGAACAAACAAATCATGAGCCAAACCGCTCTCTATAGGTCAAAAAATAAGGGACTACTATTTGTTTCAAAAAAAATGCGCACGATTTCGAGTTGAATAATGCGAGAATGCAAATAGCTAGAGACTTATGGTTTTCACCATTAGCAAGAAGAAACCGGAGCACGTAGATATATATAAAAAGAAAAATTTTCGAACAGGTCTAAGGGATTTGAGGCAAATCTTTAGAAAAGTAGCTTACCAAATGTAGAAGACGTGATGGATATTTGATTCGAATTAGTACATTTGATGCGCAAGATCCTTTTCTACAATTTTACGCCAATTGCAGGCCTGTACAACATTCCGTTCAAATGCTAGAGCTCATGTAGTAAACCTGTGAAAAAAAACAGATTTTCAGCCCGAAAAGCATGCTTCCATGCTCGATACATTTCCCAAAGCGATCGTCTCAAAGGTTGTGGCCTCGTT